AAAAAAAAAAAAAAAAAAAAAAAAAGAACGCTCTGTGGTGAACGAGCTATCGCTATATATGGGTGCTCATTATAAACGTTGCTCGTTTACCTTGACTAGTAATCACTCGCGAGGGTGGCGCATGGCGGTTGTAGTGGTACGTGGTGATGGTTGATGTAGAGGTGGGCGGTGGTTGCGTGGAGGGTGAGGGCGATAATGGTGGGCTATATATATGTATATATATATATATATATGTATAGAGAGAGAAAGAAACAGAGAGAAAGAAAGATGTATGTATACATAGGAAATAATTGTATCTGATAATATCTTAAAGGGAAGGATTGGAGAAATATCCAGCGCGATGGGCCGCCGAGAGACCGAATGAGTAAGGATAATCGGTGCCGCGGCGAGCCGTCAAATCGCGGCGCCCCAGGTGCTGGTCGGGGAAGGGCAGCGCCAGCAGCGTATACCAACGCGAGGGCATCCCGGTATCACCTCTTCCAAGGCCACCACTACCGCCACCCCTCAACGCACCAACCCCACCAAGCCCCCTGCGGCGCCTTCCTCTGACGCTGCCACTGCCGCTAGCCACCGCAACGCAAACGGGCTCAGTGTTAATTGTTATTTCTTGATCGTTACCTACTTTCCTCTGATCAATCTTTTTCTTTTGTCTTTCCCTTTTCTTTTTCTTTTTGTCAAATTGTTTTCCTTTTCTTTTAGTAGGTGTTACTACTTCTTTTTCAACCCTTCGCAGTCGTACTGAGCTTGAGACATGTAATACCGGTTCAGTGGTATATTGAGGATTTTAAACGTACTTGTTAAACAATTTCAACGATATTGAAATAGAAAGATAAGTGTGAATCTATTTGTGAGAATGTGAATCTGTGCAAAAATCTGTAACATAATGACAACTACTACTATGTGTAATCTACTAGTAACACAGTCGAACAAAATATTCAAAGAGTCGAAATGGAATTATGTTTCCGATCTTTCGTATAGTATACATTTTAAAGTATTCTTTATTAGATGTATATCTTTAAAATGTGTTCACTCATTAAGTTAGAGTGAATCACTGCGAAAAATGAGATAATCCAATGTTTCGAGCATAGTAGAAATTTTACAATATTTCTTTTTATTAGTCAGAAATCGTCGTAAAATTTTCAAATTTCTTAAAATTTACCTAAGATAATGTACAATGTACATTCGAATATAAATGGAAATCTCTTAGAAGATACTCTTGGTCGAGTAATTTTGTATTTTCTCACTTACGGAAAGGTTTCACAGCATGCTGCACCAAAACTACATTCATAATAATGTTACCAATAGACAATATTTTGGAAAAAAAAAAAAAAGATACAATCGAAATCAAAAGGGTTTGGAGGTTTATCTTTACAATTACAATGAATTACAAATTACAAAATATTTCGGAAAAGAGGTATGAAACGCGCGATTAGATAAGAAGAGATTAGACAAGAAGACAGACGAAAGAATAAAGAAAGTTCAAACAAAATGTAGAATAAGCGATACAGTATACACACGTAGGGTCAAAGAGCGAATGTATTGTATGTATATAGAAGCTATAGTTATGCACAGTCTGCCCAAGAAATAATGCCTGTTAAAAAAGAATCGAAGGCAATACGATCTTTAAATTGCAGGTAGTAAGAGCACGAGATGATTGTGTGAATGTAACATGACGAAAATCTAAAAGTTAAAATGGGAATAATGTAACATGCATCTATACTATATATATATGTTCGAATATTTATGGTAATTGATAGTCAATGATAATGATGATGAGAAAAGACAAGCATATACATTCATAAAAAGTCTTCTTTTTTGGTTTATTAAGTTTCACCTTTCGAAATTTTTGTAATTTTGCATTAAATGATAATATCGGTATATTTTATTTTCAGAAAGTTTCACTGAAATTAGAAATCTCAAGCTGTCACCTGGAATTTTAAAAATCTCAAAGTTTCGAGAGAAATATATATACTTTTTTTTAATATTCAAACAGAAAACTTGCTTGCGTTTGAGCTTACTTTCAATTGTCATGATCCTGAAAAAGCAAAGAGAGAAAAAAAAAAAAGAAAACGACGCGCTAAAAAAGAGAATGAAACGTAACAAAAAGAGTAAGAATCGAAATGGATGATAATCTCGGTATATTTTATTTTCAGAAAGTTTCACTGAAATTAGAAATCTCGAGCTGTCACCTGGAATTTTAAAAATCTCAAAGCTTCGAGAGAAACATATATTTTTTTTTTTAATATTCAAACAGAAAACTTGCTTGCATTTGAGCTTACTTTCAATTGTCATGATCCTGAAAAAGCAAAGAGAGAGAAAAAAAAAAAGAAAACGACGCGCTAAAAAAGAGAAAGAAACGTAACAAAAAAGAATCGAAATGGATGATAATCTCGTATTGCAACGAAACAGGCGTTACTTTTGGCAGGCAATCAAATCACAGGAATCGAAAGAATCATTCTACTCGCGGCTCGCGGCAATTTATTTGAATGATTTGCTTTTACCTGCGTATGAGTATTACAACGGTGGTGATTACAGCGGCAAGGAATACGAAACCGCCGAAGACGCCCAAGGCGATCACCGCGCCTAGATTTAATTTCGCTTGGTGAGTGTTACTCGACGACTGGTCGGCGTTGTCCACCCTGTAGGGTCCAGATGGTTCAGGCACACCTGTCCCAATGCCAACCTGTGCATTGTCCACTCCACTGCCGGAGATCTCGTTATCCTGAGGATGATCGTTGCTATCGTCGTTCAGGGGCGGCGACGAAGGCGGCGCAGGCCTCTGAAGGCCGACATTCGGTTTCCTCGCGATGGTCTCTCGAACCGTCGCCGGTAATTCGGCAGTGCTGGACACTCTTCGCGGTGGCACAGGGGTGGTCGTGGTTGTGGTCGTTGAAATCGTTGTGGTTCGGACTCGGGGTGGCAAGAATGTGTGTCGGGTTCTGCTGGTCGTTGATCGTACCGTCGATCGGGGAGGTGCGGTCACTGTGGTACGCGGCTCTTCTATAACACACAGATATGAATATTCGAATAATATGATCGAATATTAGTTGTTTAAAAACTACGTACAATGTCCTCAAACATTATTACTGTAAATAAGAATTAGAGTTTATTTCAAAATTTCGAGTGATTATTAATTTTTTTTCGAATTTCCGTAAACACAACAGTTTAAATTGTAAATAATATATATTTCATATATTGAACTGCACATTACCTGTACAAGTCGGTGCGACATGATCGTACAATCCAGTAGGCAAACACAATATTTGTCGGAACCCAGAGAGCCTGTAACCTTTCTCGCAAGTATAGGTAACGATACTACCTACGAGAAGGCTTCGACTGAAGTTCGTCTTCAATGGTATTGTCTCAGTTTCGTCGATTTCATCGATTTGAATGTAACTATGCGAGACAGGGGTAGGAGGATCACAGAGAATTGGCTCGCAACGTGGTGGCGGTCCGTTCCAGCGCTCGTCGATGTCGCAAGTCAATCTTGCACGACCTATTATCGAAATGAATTATTTCTCGAAACAAGTTATTAGTGAACTATGTACAGCATCTATATAATGTTAAACTAATCATTACAATTTCTTAATGAACTACATGCTAGTATCTCTACAGTGTTAAATTGAAAAATGAAAGAGCTGTTCTTAGCAGCGCTACATATCTTCAGCTGCCTACTTTACCAATCTCTAAAAATCAATTGAATCTCTTAGGTCAATTGAAGCTGTTTATCAAGAAACGGCTGTAATAATAATAATAATATCATCACTGTATTTATCAGCTCTTACCAATTTCCTTCGAAATGGCGAAGCGTTTCAACGCAACAGACGTATTACTCACAAACGATAGCCATTTATCAAAGAGCGAAGAAGTAATCGTGGCTAGCGCCACGATAAATTCTTACCAGTCATCTCGTATCCCTCGTCGCACGAATAAAGCACCTGACTGAGATAGCTAACGGTATTGTTGATAAGTGTGTAGCCTCCGTGTTTTATGTTTGCTGGATAACCGCACTCGATGCCTGAAACGTACAGAAGAATCGTTGAATTCTAACATCGGCAGGAACGATCGTATATGGTCCAGCGCTTCTAATCTCTTCGCTCTCTTACTTTTGCACACCGGTGGGAACTCGTTGTAGAAGCCAGTGTCGAGGCAGGTACGAGTCGACGGGCCTATAAGAAGGCTGCCAGCGTTACAAGTATATTCCACCGTTGCCCCGACTTCGTACGCGCTTCCGGAATTTCGATCTGTTGCCGTGGTCACCGTCATCGTGGAATTCGGTGGCTGTTCCGGTCGACCACACGCTCGCGGTTCTGAAAACACGCGAAAAGAACTCTCTGATTTCATTTGTCACTGTATTTTTTCACTGAAAAAAAGTAAGTCCAAAGATCGTTGATAGATTTTGGTGTATGAATTGGATGGAACTGTTGCAATAATTTATATTCATTCGCCACTGTTTATTATTGTGCTAATTAACATATAACCGGCCGGCAATATTTTGTAAGTTTGCAAAAAAGAGGAAGCAAACTGTGAATAATCTGTTATAACTTTCGCATTTCAACAATATTTTTATGAAATTTTGTACGATTATTCTTCACAGTCTCTGATTGAAGATATTTCATTTAATTCGAATGTTTATATTTACACTATTTATAAATGGCACGAAGTATAAATTTTCAGGATAATAATTATGACCAAAAATTCACTTTCTTTTAAATTTACTACTAAAAACAAAAAATAGTACTGCTTCGAGAACATACTAGGCAAACAGATTGATTACAGTTTACCGAATAAGTTAAAAATAACTTCAATCTACAATAAAGCCTAAACCCGGTTATTAATATTCGACGGATATTCGGTTAACTGTCAAGCAAAGTATTTAAGTATTTTACTGGATCAGTAAAATTGAATTTGAAATAATAATTTCATTTAAAGAAACGTATACGAACAGTGTATTACATTTACTTTTGTCGTGAAGATGATACATATCATCACTGTATCGATAATTCGATAGTAATGGGAGAATACTTGGTACTCACGGTGTTGACAGATGAAATTTAACCGAGCTGTGCAAGGTGTATCGGACCAAAGCCATCCTCTGCTACCATCGTATCGAGCACAATCTTCCTCGGTGCCTTGAGGCAGACTCCAGAAAGAAACGGAGACCTCCTCGCCGCTACCAGTCCACCTCCACACCGTGCGATCCTTTTGATCTCTTACTGCGCCCATCCAATATTGACTCGATGTGTCACTCCTTTTCCAAGAAAAAAAAAAAAAAAAGGAATTCAATTGAAAGTAAACATATGATATGAAGCACAGAGGTAAGGTAATTGACAAGAATTCGGTACCTGTGTCTCCTCCACAATTCCCACGAAATGAAGCCTTGCAACGCAGGATTGCTTTCGTCCACTAAGGTGCCACCTCGCGCACGACAGAAGGCCAATGCCTCTCTGAATATCAACGGTTGCCGATTATAGAATATGTAACATTTCCCATTGTAGGTCGCTGTCGAGCCTGGTGGCTGATCTCTAAATTGCGGACACCTCTCGATGGGAAGGGCCTGTACAAAAAGAATCAATCACGAATATACGAATCACTCTTCGACTATAAAAGAAGAAATAAAATTCGTTCAAGGGAATGAAAATTGTTCGTCGAACTTATTCTTGAGATTTTTCACAATGTCATTTTAAACAATAGGAGACTCATACCTGATCGGTGTACACGAAAGCCTCGCACAACGAGAGTTGTACTGGAATTGGTGCCGGCGTGTTTGCTTCCAAGTGTACGGAAACGAAGGCTCCGGGCATAGGCGGATTGCAAGGTAAGAAAAGAGGTTGCCCTTCTTCGAGGGGGCCGGTGAAACGATTGCAAATTGGATTCGTTCCCAGGTCCGGCCGATTGTTTCCGACACGAACAACGATCGTTCCAGGCATACCATCGCCTGCAATCAGAGAACGTGTGAAGAATTTAGGCTCGGCTACCTCGCCACTGATACCAAGTTGAATCATACAAAATGATTCGGAAATTGCTTTCCCGGGCAATTTGAAGCCAATTTAAGACGGAGTGAAGCAAGAACAGCAACACCGTTGTTTGCCTGTAATGATAATAATTTCAGTTGGTCTTCGATACTTGACTCAACACACGGAAGATCGAGTTCTACTAGTTTCCTCGGGAATCAATTTAATTTCCATCAGTTTAAGTTCCTCATCGAATGTAGAATCGATAATAACAGCTTCTCCTCTGTACAACATGAAAATTAAATAATACCATGAAATTTCTAAAATCGATCGCAACGAACAATATTACGTCGAACTAACCCTCTTGTTTCTGTCTAC